GGCAGAGGCGGAAGGATCGCCGGACCCCCAGCAGGTTGAGGCTGCGGTGGCTGGAAGCGGCCACTGCACTCCAGTCTGGGCGACAGAGTGAGACTCCAACTCAAAAAAAAAAAAAAAGAGTGACACTGGAACATCTGCAAATGCATATTCCAGGGTGAGGGACCAGCAAATGCAAAGGCCTAGAGGTAAGAGAGCACTTGGTGTGTTTGAGAAACAGTCATTGTTCTGTGATGTCAGATGTAGGTTTCTTAGAGGAAAGAATGGAGAGATAGGGTTGACAGACAGCTGGGAATCTGGTATGCAGGGCCTGAAATGATTTGATGGGGAAGTGGGAATGGAAAACTATTAGAAACTTTGGTGTAAGTAAATGACATTACCTCATCTGATGTTTGGGAAGGTGACCCTGGCAACAGCGCAAAGGATGGTTAGAACTATTGAGAATGAAATCCAATTGGAAGTTCTGGTGAAAGTCCAGGTGGAGAGATGAGGGGGACTTGCTCCAGATAGTAGAAGCTGGGATGGTGAGAAAGCAAGAGAACCCATGGAGGTAAATAGGACAGACCTTGACTGATAAGTGGGTGCAGGAGTTGAGGAGAGGAAGCCTCTGTGCTGGGCGGCTGTGATGACGATGATATTATTGACCAGGAGCAGGAGAACAGAAGAAATTACAGGTTTAGGGAGGAAGGAGAATGATTTAGATACGTGGGAAAGATTCACTTCAAGTCAAGGCAATTTAGAGAGAGGTCAAGTAGGAGAATGATGGTGTGGTAAGATATGGAGACCCCATGCAGGGACTTCCCATGCTTGACTGCATTCAGCATCCACCACAACCCACTAAGGTGGGTTTCATTTTCCCTGTTAGACACATGGGGACACAGCAGTTCATTAAGGTTAAGGCAGCTGCCCAGCATTGCTCAGCGTGTGTGTGGCAGGGTTGTTTCCACCCCACCTCTCTGAATCCCATCCACAACTCCATCTTTAAAAGAGTCCATGCTGAGGTCCTTTAAGTAGTGGGCTGTTAAACCAGGGCATTAAAATGTGGTTAATTTATAAAGCTTTGGTTGGGGCTAGCATTTTTCTGAAAGGGAAGAAAAAGAAAGCTGGCCAGTGTCCTTACACTTGGAATGTTTATGTCTTTAAAGAAGAGAGCCGCCGGGCTCGGTGTCTCAGCCTGTAATCCTGCGCCTTTGGGAGGCTGAGGTGAGTGGATTGCTTGAGCCCGCGGGTTCGAGACCCGCCTGGCCAGCGAGACCTCATCTCTACAATAAATCAAAAAATCTGCCGGGCATGGTAGCGCATGCCTGTAATTCCGGCTACTTGGAAGGCTGAGGCGGAAGGATCGCCGG